AAGCACTATATCCGCAACCCAGCTGAAATCACTACATGTGTTATGTTTGCTCACTGCACGTCTATCCAGTTGTGCGCATCAGGATGCGCCAAGACTTCGCTTTGTGTAATCGTCACTGTTGATAGTAAACGTTATATTATCATTATCCTTCAGTTTTTCTTAGCGATTTCCGGTGGTATCAGTCTTAATATGATTACCATTTGTTCGTTCATGTCTGATGCAGGCCCGTTGGCTCTTTTGTGTGTTTGCAGCTTCGTAAGGTAATTTCGCTGTTATTGGAACAGCATTTTGTGCGAGCTAAAATGTTAGGGGACTTCACCTTATCTGTTTTCTTCATCGCTACTTGAATGAACCTATATGAACTCTCCCTAAGTGCTCTTTTATGTTATTTTCTCCCAAATGTTGGTATTTTTGCGTATTCTATATAAAGAGCTATATAAAAGCACCGACATCTCCTAAATATATGTAGATTCAATAAAATATGTTTAGCGTATGCAGACCACGTGCGCTTTGGTTTCAGCAGAGTTGCGCCGCTATATTTAAAGGGACACTAATTTCAAATAACAATTCACCTCGGAGTGAAATCTCAATTTATGACAACATCTAAAACAACAATATTATCAACTTACCGGCCAAAAGATTAAGATAAATGCACAAGAATACATGCGCCACAGTCGGACATTCTCAAAACAAAATAATCCCCATGACGTCAGACGAACCGCCTACAATTATTCACTAGTATTCAATGTAGCTGCACAAAATGAAGAACCTTCAGTGCGTCAAGATACGTCATGAAATGTTGCTTCTTCGTTTCTGTTTGATTCATAAAAAACAAGAACCGCTGGACATTTCTATGGAAATGGCGTGAGTGGTTCAAAAATTCAATTTTCGCGTGGTTAAACAGGACAGGTCGTGCCATCCAGCGGTGCTCAGTTGAACCAAACATGTCTGCCATCTTGGAGTCAATAGCCCGAAATTAATCAATGGCCATTGTTGCTGCTGTTGCTCTTATTTTTTCGTTATGCAGCTATTAGTTTCGGCGGCCATGCAGTAAAGCCGAGCAAAGTTGTTCACGTCCACAACATTGACGTTAGATGGCCTGTTTCTTGAGGCGGGTGATTTGAAGTGCGCTAACCCATTGCGGACCACTAAAACATGATTTTATTTCGAGATAAGGTGTTCTTTGGTACAAAAGTAACACTACGAGGCTTCTAGACGGCTATTTCAACAAAAAACGTCGACTTAATAGTTGCCTTTAGTATCCCTTTAACCGTTTTCTTGACTCACGATCTTGCGTAATCTGACCTGCGTATTCTAGGCATGACAGCCCATTCTCATTGCACTTTCTTGTTTACTTACATTGTCTGCGTCTTCGGGGCGCGTCAAGTTGATTGTTAAGAACGAGACACTTTAAGCCGAATTACTAAATTACCCAACCGATAACCATTGCGTTAGACATTTCATCAATGTTTTTGAATAGCTGGCTCTAATTTAAGCCGCCCTTCAATACGTCTGCAACTATTAAACAGCCGAAGCTGGAATAAAAATGTCACAGCTTTGCAGCAAAGGCGAAGCGATGAACGCGATAGCAACAAATTGGAAGGTCACGCGCAGAATGGCAAGATGATCGAGGCGTGCCCCGCGTTTCTTACGTACAAATGACACACAAAACGTACTCACAGGTACAGATGCACGTGAATAAGCGTCTCAATTGTTACTTCGATGTGTCTGAAAACCGCGCCCATTTTCGCAAACGGAGGCTGTGCAATGATTGCAATGACCTTTGTGCACCCCGTAACTACAACAGAATCGTTCCAGTGCAAGTCGAACGCCAGCCAAGACGTAAAAGCCTCCCCACCTGGAGATAAGGGTGCATGAGAGATCGTCCAATCACCTCCTCTCCGTGAGCCAAAGTACGCGTGAGAGATGAGAGCCGTCGCGCGCGCATTGTGCCATCTTGCTGATAATGCTGAAAACACAATAGCTTCCCTCCGAGATGCCCGTGAGCAGCGATAAGTGGTAGATATAGCTAGCTTGTCGTTGAATTGGTACCTTTCGGTAGCTCAGTAGGTTAACGTCTCACATTCACGACGTAGAGGTCCCACGTTCGATTCTCACGCTGGAGCCTTCTTTATTGTTTTTGCATGCACTTTCATATATATATATATATATATATATATATATATATATCTATATATATATATATATCGGTGCATGATATCGACGCCCCCGTCGACGCCGACGCCGGCGATATCCAGCCGAGAGTGACCATATAATTGCTATCGCAATAAAACATATTTTGCTGGGCGAACGAAAAGACGAGAGTGTCGGGGCATCGTTGAGGGAAAACTGAAATTATCGGCTAAATACGAATCCGGGCCGACCGGAAGAGGGGCGGGCCCGTTTGGGCGTTCGGGAAAGCTGAATGGGAAAGGACGAGGGGGCAGAAAAAAAAAAGGTGGTAGCGCTGATCACCCGTGTGTGACCCCCCGCAGAAGGTCAACAGAGGCGGGAGAGTACTCGAGTGAGCTTTGGCTCCTGACAGAAACCGCAAGGTCGAACGTGCAGCGCGGAGGAACGAGGGGTAGAGGGAGCGAAGGGGGAGCGAGAGGTCGCGGCCTGAACAGATGCTGCCGTTGATTTGTCGTCATGGCTGCCGCTTCTCCATTGAACCGGGTCGTCGATGAAGCGGGGGATTCGATAAGAATGGGGAGAGTGGGGAAGAAGTTTCGCGAAAGCGGTTTCGCAGAGCGACTGTAGAGAGTCAATTGCGACAACTGCGGTATATACGCGGCCAAAGCTTGCGGAGCTGTCCGTCATCTGTGCGGACCAAAGCTGCTATGGCCGTCCCCGTGATGGACAGTGTATGCGCTCCAGTTGCGCTGAGCTAACACATCACAAAAGCGTCAGTCCGCACATACAACGTACACAGTTATCTCTCGCGAGAAACTGAGCGCGCTGAAGGCGGCGTGCTGCGAAAATGAAAGCCTGGCTGCGACAGCTGGCTTATCATTGCCACCCTCTTCGTGTCGCTTGGTTCGTTAAACTAATAAAGAAAAGACTCGCGAGAAAAAAAAAGCTGGAGACTCGTGGTCTCACGACCCGTACCAGTGCCTCCTCATTTTTTGATGGCCTCGAGGTGTATACTAATATATCTTTCTTCGGTTTTCATTCCATTATTTTAACTATATTGCTAGCACGCCTGAAAGAGACGAATGTCTCATACTGATGCCTCCATCTGTTTTTTTTTTCTTTTTTCCAATCTGTTTCTTCTGCGAAATCTGTGGGAAAGCATGCCTTCATATGAGGGTGCACTATCCGAAATCACAAACGCGAATGCTTCAAAATTTAATGCGCATGTGATCAATAAATATTGCCAAGAAAATGTATCCTTTAACTGCCACAGAACTTTGAAATACCAGCGCCTTTGTCACTTTTGTCAGATATATGTTTCATCAACGCAGCCAGCCGTTGATCTTAGATCTACATCACATTGTAAGTGCAATGTGAAATGACTCCAATTGACCCTTCTCAACCACTACAAGGAATCGTGTTCAGTTTTTTAATATTGTTAATATTTCTCTAAATTACACCTATAAGGTTCAGCAGGGTTTGTCTGTTTGTTTTCCCCATGCCACATTCACTACTCATCTATTCAATGGCTTATAATTGTTGGTTACTGTGAATTCTTGACAGGGATCATAACTCATCATTATGCTTAAGTAGAACTGAAAAACAATCATACATTAGATGGTGCGTTATATTGGCTTACTGCAGTTGTGACAAAAAAATTCTGTTCAAAATTTCTCTAGTCACTCACCAGTTCACTGGTTAACTGCAGCTGTAGCAAAGAAATTTGGTTAGATATCCATCTAGTCACTCACCAGTCAACTAGTAAACTGCAGCTGAGGCAAAAGAAATTCGCTTCAACATTTTTTTCTATTCAATGTCTGGTTAACTCGTCAATGGTAGCTGAAGCAAAATAAATTCAATTGAAAATTTTTCTACTCACTGACAAGTTCTCTGATTAACTGTGGCTGCCACAATAATTTAATTAATTATCTGTCTACTCACTGACCAGCTCACCGGTCAACTGCAGCTCTAGCAATGACTACCAATAAAGAAATTTTCTAGTCACTGATCTTCCGCATGATTTCTTTGTTTCTCTGTAGCCTGGAAACCAGGGCACATACCCACTCTGGGAGACTAGACAACACATAGTATTCTAGGGACGGTAACAGCACTATTGCTTTCCAAAAAAAACTAATATACAAGAAAGAAGACATCAGTGAGTGAAACGACTTTATTGACGATCCGGCATAAAGGGAGAAGGTGTAGGGGGATTAAAGCGAGACACTAGCGTGCTCGGACGTCCCGGAGCAGCAACCTACTCGCGTCAAACCCATGGGGGCGCCGTTTTCGGCCGCTGGCGTTCCAGGATGCTAAGCACGTGCTGGACCACGTCTCTTTGATTGCCTGGCTCTCGGCTGATGATTTTGCTGCTTATGGCAGTTGGCATTACTTCTTGGTTACCCGGCGGTGGTGCACAGTCCCAGAGGAGGTGTCTCTGGGTGGCTCGCGCCTTCTTGCAGTGTTGGCATACATCAGTAGTGTAAACCTCCGGGAAAACGTGTTTTGCCCAGACGGGGGTCCATATTGCTTGTACTTGCAGCTGCCGTAGTGTGGCAGCTGCAAGAAGACATCACAAAAAATAAACCTTCAGAGAGTGAGAAACAAAAAAATACAAAAATTTAAGAACTATTTAACGATAATCTGAATAATTGAAGCCGACCAAACAGCGGAGTTTCCCAAACCCAATTACACTGGGATGTATGACTTGTATTTATTCACGTTTTAAAAATTACTTCCAGACTACTTTTTTTGTAATATTTGTTAAACTGGGCATTATGTTGATATACGTTCAATGGCTTGAATAAAATTACATGACTAAAACTCACTTCTTTCTCTTTCTTTCCCATCTCATTCCTCCTCTTGCGCAGTGAGGAAAGAGAACGAGAACCTGTTCCGGCTTCCGACGTCCACGGCTGCCACCACCACGACGGGAGGCGCCGTGACGGCGACCTCGGCGTTCGCCGCCGACAACGCGACGCTGACGGCGCCGACGGTGGCCGTCGGCTGACCTCGACGCCTGGCCCCGACCGATGTACGGTCCCAGTGCCATCACCGCCACAGTCCCCGCCGCAGGAGATGCTCATTCCTGTCCCGAGACGACGTCGGGAGAATGCGGACGTTTCACCACTTAGCCGAGGCGTGTGGCCTCAGACGGGAAAGACTTGTGAGCACGTGTACCTTGACCAAACGTGGTTTCGTGTGATCAGCGGCGCAGAACCGGAACATCCGTTAGCATTTTGTTTTTATTTGTATATGAAAACATGGGAGGGGTAGGCTACCTTGGAGCTGACTATCCCATCAGCAGGAGAGCAGTATTAATTAAACACAGAAAGACAGAAAAAATTAGAAGGAATACAAAAATAGGTACATTAAAATGTAATCAGAAGCCCTATGTACATAATCAATATGTGGAGCATGAAGCGTGAGCACAGTCTAAGGAATTAGCCCAGTACCTACAGCGTGGTCATATTGCGAATAGAGTCCGTACAGATACTCGCTGGCAGTAAAAAAAAATCACTGAAATCTTCTCACCACGAGCATTCACAGACCCTCGAATTCACAGACTCTGTTTCAAAGTTCTCTGTTCTTTCGGTCTTTATTTGATGGTTACTTTATGTGGCTACCTCCTTTTAGGTATCTGTGCAGTTCGCGTTTTCGTCTTGTTCTATTTGTGTCTTCTTCCTATCACACAGTTTTTCAATGTAATGATGAGTATTAATATTTTTATTTCCTTCAGCCACGTTCACTCATCAGCTTAGACACTCCTTGTCGGCTTCGAATTGTTGCCGCCTGTAAATTCTTGATAGAGATCCCAATTTGATATGGTACTTGAAGCCCACTAAAGAAAATTAATGTTTTAGAGGTTAAGCTAATCTGCTGCAGCAGCGGCAAAATAAAAATGAAGAAAATGTGTTTTGCAACAGAGTTTCAAAGGGCAGCACTTGTGAGTGCGGTACTAATACCCCAAAATTAAGTCCTGAAATTCTAATTTAGTATTCATTCTGCCTGCTTTCGACACACCACACTAGTCTACGTCATTCATTTATTCATTTTACTAAGTCATGAGGGCAGCAACTTCTGGAACATTGGCATCTTTGATACTTGTCCCTGATAGCTAAGGGGATGGAAAGGCCTGTGCACAACTAGGCGCTTTCAGTCGTTCTTCACCGCTGGCCCCGTGAAACCACAGAGAGCAGGAGTTAAATCATAATGCTCAGTAAGCTCTCCGCGTGCACACCAAGATAGACGCAATCGAGTACTTGAATGGTTGCTCATAGCGTACGGGCAGACAACACTAGAAGCACCGACTTCGACAACGCGGAGTCGGCAATACAAGCATGCCACGTCGTATCCGCTCTAATGCCAGCCACGCTGTACCCGGGACCCGCCGAAGTCTCCGTCAACCGGAGTCGCCGGAGATGCCTGCCGGCGTGCACTTCACGTCTCCTCTGTGTCAAGGCGGCAATTAGTCGAGATAACGGACGCACCCCTATCTGCAGCCTCCGGTGATTCCGTCACTGCAGTATTGTTCTCTTTTCTGTCTGTCTGTCTCAATTTTTTTTCTCTATTTCTGTACGAAATCATTGAGTGTAACGATTGCTCAGTCAACGAGGAGTCCAAAGTTAAGAATTTCCGCGTGTACGTCTGACCAGTTATTGTCTTCTTTGTTGTGTTTGCATGGCGTCATTGGTGTCTACGTTCAATGCGAGGCCGCAAAGAGCGATAATGGTGGAAGAAAGATGACGGAAGGGGCCATGAATGAAGTGCCGAAAACTAGACGAGGACTCAGTCACGTTCATTTATTATTTGGAAAGTGCGTGGCACTAGGGCCCGAATTTATAGACTCTGGCAAAGTAGAAGTGGGTCATGGCTATGTGGTTGTTGTCAGAGTTCTTTAAAAGGCAAGCTGAGTGCAAAACGCTCTTGTCTATACGAACTTTCCTATGTTTCGAGAATACGTACCAAGGACTTCACTTCTTTATTGTGTAACCGTTTACCAGCCTATTAGTTTCGAATCCAAGTGTTTTTATTTTCAAACATTCGGGGTGCATTGAGTATTATCTCAGTTCATATAATCACATCTGTTTTCCAGATAATGGGCGCAATTTGGAGAAACGAAATTTCATGGGATTAATCTCTAACCAAATCAACCAATTCTCGAGTTGCTTTGATTCCGTGGATCGTACCGCTCAGACTACGGTTGTCATTCAAGCACTTTATAGACAGCGCTTATAGCTCCACATGAAATCCATGGCTCCTGTTTTAGCCATTGGTACAGAATGGTACCCAGAATAATGCGCGTTTTTAGGAAACGTGCAGTTATAACGTCACTTTAAACATGAATGAAAAAGTGTAAAAAAAAAGACGTCTAGCTGGTGTTTCAACAGGCAGAACTTGCGTAAAAGAGACGATGTGTGACCTGGCACACTATGTTGAGCATACCTCAAGCCATGGAGCCAGCACGGGAGTGACGTCTGAACTGAAAACATAAATACTAAATTGGCAGATACTAAATTTCCAATAGCGATTATTGAAGAGCATGTGTCGCGTTCTTTAGGAGAAATTGAGCACCTCGGAGAGCCAAAATTCACAAAATCTATCTTTCATAAGTGCATTCTCTCATTGTTCAGTCAACTTCGCTAAGGATGTATCACACATTACGGTTGACTAATATTGTCTAATGAAAATTTCTAGCATAAGAAGTTTTGTGAGTGCATGCCCAGATCTCTGCGTGCTCCCCACTCTTATTAGCATACGGGACTTGCAATGCTTTGGAAGCTTAGGGTCACTGTGACGCAATGCTCAAACAAGTATTAGAGGCACGGACTTCTTTCATGGTCCCCATGGAAATGTGTACTAGTGTGATGAGAAGATGAGTGATACCTATACCATGCCGCGTGTGTGACAAAAGTGACGGTGCAGTGTAACCATGTTTAGTGATACATTGTATAGATGTTACGAAAAACTTGTCAACTCTCGATGGTGTTGCAGTGGGTGATAGTTTCCATTTCGTAGAGATTGTATACGTTTTTTCGGTAGAAGTGTACTTACGGCCAGAATCGAAATGTGACGTATTTGTAGAGCCGATAAAAAAATAACACTTGTAGGTGCGGCTCACACGTTCTTTTCTTTTTTGAGGCGCACGCGAAACCGAACATAGTTGCGTGACGATGAGACATACATGCAGCATCAAACCAAGCTCAACGTTGGCAACAGAAAAAAAAAAGCTGAATTAAGTACGTTATATTCATGCCTGTCGTGATTTGTCGTGCAGCAACTGCAATAGGAAATAATAGTTACTTATTGAGAGCAAAGGTACGCCAAGAAAACAGCGTCAAAAAGTGCGCTTTCCTGCTGTTGCTTTGAACTAAAGTAATAGTGGTTCCTAATGTAATACATTTAGGAGTGGCCACTCGTGAACTTCTTCAGGCGGATTACAAATCCACAGCGCAAGTAATCAGCACCTTCAGACGCGCATGCAGTTAAAAACGCGAAGCAATGGGCTTTCTTTTTCTATCGTGACAACTTCGGATCACTATAATGTTTGCCCATGTACTGAGTGTACGTGCAAATGTGACTAAATATGGCAGCTCTTCCGTTGCCCGTCATGAAGCAGCCGCGCTTTTTCAAGCCACTAAATAAACAAAATACTAGAATAGTAGCATTTTGATCGCTCTCTTCGTAAACACTGCGAGTGACGTTACCCTTGTACGAGTTGCCACGGCCTGGCGCATCGCACTAGCTTCATGCGCTCGACGAAACGGTGGTGGCGGGCATGGGACTGTAAAGTGAAACCCCGTGCGGCCTCCGCACAAGACTACACGGATGAGAATATCCCCCGTTTTATACGAACGTATACGTATTCGCTTCGCGCGTCACCTCGTCAACCCAGAGTTCCCGCTGTATACGACATTCAATTTGCCAAGAGCGCGAGGCTCCCACGTGAAACCGGAAGGTTTCTTTATGCGTTTCAGGCAAGCATCTCTTTATATATATATGGCTCGGCGATGCGAATAAGGCATACAGCGTGATCCGCGAACTCTTCCTTAAATGCCGAATCCGTGTATACGCGGCATTCATATTGGCCCATGCAGAACGTGTCCCAGTTTGAGAACTGTAGCTCCACCTATAACGAACTATAGCCCCTGGAGTTACATTCTTTTCATCAAGTGGCAGCTGTAAATGGTAGCGTGAGCTAATGTTTTAACGCTGCCTAGTCATAGCTTCATCGCTTACCGGTAAAACGCCCCCAACGCTGCCACTGCAGTTAGAAAAGGAGTGGATGTTGCGTGCAGCGCTTGCGACGCTCAGAACATGCACGACAAGGCCTTGCGACAAAATGAAATGGAGGATCTGTTATACGACTTCGCTTTACGGCGCCAAAGCTGCCAAACACGTTCTTCAAATGAACCGCGATCCCACTGCATAGAATAACGGAACAGGAATGCGGAGAAAGCGTTGAATATGGTGCGAATTAGTCATAGCCCATGGACAATCGCAGAGAAGCCACCTTTGGAAAGATGTACGATGCACTTTGTACACTGAGAGCAAAGACTCGCTACGCGCAGAGACAATTGCCGACAGGCGCGTGAGATATTGTTCACGCGCATTGACTCACTTTGAATTTTCTTCATTCGTTTCGCTTGTTTAGTAAACATAGCGAACATCCTCCGGTGTAGTCATCTATAGGACGTCTCGTGCTCAGGTCAGATTGTCTCTGTATACATGTGAGAGGTGGTCACCGCTACGTGGCGATGTTGCAGCTATGCGAACGTGCCGTTAGCTTGTAGATTCCATTGCGAGATAATGCATAACGTTGCGTTGCGCTCTTTATCGCTTCGGGTCGTGTCCTGGTCGACTGATTAGATCTTGAGTACGGGAATTAGCGAACGCAATCGACACAAATGGGTGTCATCAGACTAGCCAAGTGTTAAGATAAACATCGGTAGGAACTATATATACGGTAAAACGTGACTCGGTAAACATAGGAAAACATTATTCAGTATC